TTCATTCTTGTTTCATTCTTGCTTTACTCTTGCTTTTTTATTCTTGTTTTCAGTTCTTGTTTTCCATTCTTGTTTTTCAACCGTGTTTTCCATTCAGATTCTCCATTCTTGTTTTCCATTCTTGTGTTCCATTCTTGTTTTCCATTCTTGTTTCCATTCTTGTTTTCCATTCTTGTTTTCCGTTCTTGTTTACATTCTTTTTTGTAGCACCACCACTTGGTGAAAATCTACGGTTGCAGTTGGAGGAATGGATCCGTGATCAAGTAACTGAACCCTCCAACTCATCACCTCTGGTCCCGGTCTCAAAGAGAACCAAGACCAGAGGTGATGTGTAGTTTTTTGCTAGGTCAATAAGTTAACAGTAGACGACTCATACCCAACCCCAAATATTTCAGATATTTTAACTTCATTAGGATGTTCAAATTTTTTTTCAACTTTAGACACTTCCCATGAGTATCATGCAAAAGTCCTTTAACAGCATTTGCGACAGCATTTGGATATTTCATTTCTGTTGCATGCTGTTAGGGTTAAAAAATATTTACTGTAGATTGGTACAAAAATTAGTAGACATGTTAGGGGACTTTTTAGATGATGTTTTGTTACATACAAATGCCACTATTTATTATGTTAAAGTTTTTCCGGCACACACAGCAGCTGGAATTAAAATAAATGCAGATAAAACATTTCTTTTCAGGATCAAGGTGTAGTACCTCAGTCATCTGTTTAGTATATGTGTCCAAGATTGATAGCAAGGGAAGGATCTCTCATCATTTTTAGAATTTCCTGGGTTTGCTCAGATCACAGCGAACTTAAATGAGGTGAAAAACAAGCGCATGAAAAAGTCCAGCAGCTGTTTGACTCTATTTAAATCTCAAGCCATGAAGCTTTGATACAGGAGAGAGAAGAAAATAGGTTTGGGAGGCCTCGAAATGCAGGAGTAATCATGAAGGGTCAGAAGAAGGAAAAATAACTTGTCATATGAGACGAATGAAAGGCGGAGAGTCTCTGCCAGTGAGCTCAGGCTTTCCACGATTCATTAGTATCACTTTATTTGTTAATATATTTTACATTTAAATATATTTTTTCCTTTACTCTATAGATTTACTCATACCAGTTTCACTTTTAGAAGGTAACACTAGTAACAGCTTCCAGGTTGGTAGATAGATAGATATATAGATAAATAAATGAAGACTCTTTTTACAAGTGTATATTTGTGAGTATTAACTATTAATATTGGATATATATCTATTAATTGAATACCAATGTATAACTTATTGAATTAAGGAATACTGGGATTAAGAAAAAGAAGTGCTGGATATTAAATAAATTAATATCAGAGAGACTGATAAACCACAAAATAGGAAAATCCTGAGTGTATTGAGTATTCCATTCAAATAGATTATTAAGTACAATAGATGGCCAACAGAGAAATGTACCAATTATATACGACGTCACAAGAGTCAAATATAAAAGGAAACAAATTTTTTTCTCCCATTAGTTGACATGTTTTCCAAGATTAAATAAAAAAGTGTTAAAACAGAAAATAAAGAACACAAAATTACACTTATTTTACTGTAAGAGAAGCCCTTTATTATAAAATTATTACTATTTTTTATAATTTTGTCTGACACATAAAACTGTCATGAAGTAAGAATACAGCTGTACCAAGAGTGTACACATTCTACGTTGCCATCTATTGTACTTAAATAAATTTGATTCCATTCATATTTGTCATCCTAAACCAAGGAGAATTGAATAGAAGGAGGGGGAGATAGGGTTTCCGCACATTTTGCTGTGACGTTTTTGGACTGCTGAAGAACTAGTTTTTGCGTAAAAACAATAATAATGATTTTAAACAATAAAACAAATGATAAACAGACATCTGGCGCATCTCTGGCGTTAGATGAAGATTCAACGTATACTAACTCATGTTTGTTAACATTAGATCGGCTGCCTTTGTTATTGTTGTTATGCAAAAACTAGTTCTTCAGCAGTCCAAAAACGTCACAGCAAAGTGTACGGAAACCCTAACGCCCCCTCTTTCTATTCAATTCTCCTTGTCCTAAACTAAGTTTTCGATGCGTACTGCAGTAATTTGCAAATTGCAGTACACATACCGGAAAGATTAGAAGTCTTGGTATTAGGCAACTAGGTTATAGTATATAGAGTGATGATTTACGCTTTTCCTTTACTAACTGTACAAGCCATGTACTTTACTTTCAAAGGTCAATCTGTAAATTAGAGAACTCAGGGGTGATTTCTGAAAATATTTAAATGAAGAATTTGTTTTCCATGTAACTATTAAAATCCTCTACTCCTTTATCGTGTGCAGGATTCCATTTTCACAGGAAGACGTACATTTACAGTCTTTTACAGAGCAATATTTCATCGTTAATAAACTGTTCTGAGAAAACTGAGTAAAATTCAAGATACACTTGTACTCCGAAAGCGTACTGCATAATATCCTAAGTGTACAGGGAGAGGTAGCTAAGATCCCCCTGAGCCCAAAACTTAAGACAGGGTATCGTTATGAAAACCAGTTTTGAAACCCGGGTTTCAAGAATGGGGTTAGGCAGTTTTGTGGATATCAATATTTTTGTTGTGAAATATTATTTTATTAAGTTTCTTCATATTCTTCATTTTTTAAAATTTCTTAAATCAAAATTTACACAATTGCCAAGACCCCAAAAAGGAAACTCGGGAGTTTCGTTCAACGATACTCTTTTAAATTTCGGGCTCTGGTATTAGGACAGTTAATGCCTTCATTTTCAGCTCTACTCTATTTTTGTGCTATGAATAGGACAGATGCAATAATCCAATCAAACCAAATAATTTGTTTATACAACATTTTCTGAAGGATATTTAGTTTTCAGAAGATATTTCACAGTAACCTGAAATCATTTAATAATTAAATGTTTTTGTATATTTTCGAATTTTCCTGCATTTTATAACGTACGTAGTTACAATTCCGTTTACCCGTGCTTGATCGCATGAGTTTAGCTATTTTTCCCTATAAAAGTGGCCCCCCTTAATCTCAAAACCAAACTAAGGACATTTTCGAGGTCTCCCGAGTTCCCCAATCAAAATTTTAAGAAACCGATCAAAGGGTTCCTGAGTTATGATCGGACATACTAAATAAACAAACGCACAAACAGAGATTACAACTTTAAATATATAGATCAGGGGCGTAGATAAGGATTCTATAGGGGGGGGGGGGTAAAAGAGCATCAAAATTTTTTTTACCCCCCTAGAAAAATATCATGATGTATATCAAATTATTGGTTTTAATTGGGTTTGATTTGCATTTTCCACTCATTTCTGGGATTTACAAACTCAATCTAATAAAGGCTTCATTACATGTACCTTTCAGCTTTCACCTTGTATGTATTATAACCTTCATTATATTCATTCATTTTACATTAACTACAAAGATCTGTAAAAAAAACTGAATTAATTTTATTTTAAAGTAATATAAAAAATAATAGTTTTACTCTAAGAGGAAAAGGATGTTACTTTTTTAAATCTTTAGAAAAGCTACTCTGCAAAACTATGGACTAAAATTAGTACTTGGTATTGGTTGGTCTGTCCTAGTCTCCTAAAGAACGCTTTTTGGACCCTCCCCCCCATATGTTACAGAAACTTTTACTATCTTGAAAATAGATGTCTTTACAAAAGTGCAGACTAATCAATAGGGAATGTATTTTTTTTTGAAGTGAAGGGGCCAAGGCAACTGTAACTTGTAGAGGCAGCAAGTGGAGTAACCCCTGCTATTCAGGGCCTGAATATATGTTCAGGGGTAATTACCTCCAAGATTCTAGGGGGGGTAATTACCCCCGGGATTCTAGGGGGGGGGGGTTTTACCCTCAGGATTCTAGGGGGGGTAAATAACCCCAATAACCCCCCTTATCTACGCCACTGATATAGATTCTAAATTCTTATCTTTATTTTTTTAATCATAAAAAAAATGTTAAACTGCTTTTTTAAAAACATTTTGGTGATATCAATCACTACTCAATTATTAGATTTTTTAGATTTCAAAAATTGTACAAATAATTTGATCATTATTAATTGAAACTTGGCAAATTACTAGCTAATTAACATTGAGAACTAAATCTAAACTGTACATATCCAAGAAAAAAAACGCAAAAGCCAATATCGGTTATGTGCATAGAGAAATATATGCAAAAGCACATTTCAGCTTCTCTTCATTGGTAATATGTTTATCAAATGCTCCTGAAGGGTTCTTAATAATTTCCACAAAAATGTTGCAGCATTGTAAAAATGATAGCCTTTTAAGGCTAGAATGGGAAAAATAATTTTTATCTTTGCCTCTCATTCAAAATTCCTTAAAGATATATTCTGATCGAAATGATGAATTTGTTTATCATGACTTCGAGATAATTTACAAACGTTTTGAAAGTGCTTGCACTAAAGTTGACCACGAGAGAAGCTAAAATATGCTTTTTAAACATACTTCTCTATGTGCTTAAAGCTACAAATCAAGCAAATATTTGCTTTTGCATTTATTATTCGATATTCATGTAAGAATTAGTCCTGAATGTAAATCAACCAATATTTGGTAAAAACTTAAAATGATCAGATTTTTTGTACATTTTGATACATCTTAAAAACCTTATATTTGAAAAGTGTGCCATACACTTTAAAACTGTCAATATTTATATTTATTTGTTATGGACTTTTGTGTTTTTTTTTGTCGCTTTTGTTTTATTCTGAAACTTACCCGTAATATTGATGATTACAGATGATTTTTCAATTTATGTAATCTATTTCAATTTATGTAATCTATTTCGTTGCATAAATAGCTTTCAAAGTTTTCCAGACAGAGACCTGGATATATGTGCACCAATGCATGCACGTGTTGTATACTCGGTACTGTAAGTTATTAGTTGTTGGAACTTTACATACTTATTAATTCTGCGTCAGGCGTAAATTTGTTTTAAAACATTGTTTAAGAATTAGTTTTCAGTCGTTGGGGTTCAGCCTCCATCCCCGCATATAATCATATGTAATTCTCCAAAACTTTAAGAAAAGACGACATTATGAATAATAATTTTCTGAACCTGTATTCGATAATCTTCAACCAGTCTTATCTGGATACTGCTAACCTATCCCTAGACCTGGTTCAGGGTAAGCAGGGGGAGGAGAAGGACGGGTTTGATATAAGTATCCAGTATCCTATACTCTACCATACTCATAGAGGAGAGGATGGATCAACAGAGTATATTTACACCAATCCAGATGATGGTAGGTTCACAACACTTTAAACATGCATTAAACTATTGCATAAGAAAACAAAATTTAATAAATCTTATTTGTTTTTGATAGTTGCTCTAATTCATCTTCACTTGCATCTTTTAAATCATAACTTTATTCTAATAGTCGTCCTTCTATACCACTGTTTTCTAGTCCCCACTCTACTTTAATAAGACTATTGCTAGACAGAATATAAATCAACTCTCTGGTTCAGCAACAGAAGTATTTAAACTCGCCACAGTTAAACTACTTTTTTCTCGTTTAATGTTTAACTCTTGAAACTCTGGTTAATTTGAAGGTATCAGTCTGAAAATATACTTTAACATTTTCAGAATTATCTCAGTCATAAACCTGATAAGTTACAAAATTTAACTCAAATTTGCTAATCCCTATATCAAATCAACCTGATGGTGTTAACCTTTGTTATTTCATACTTAGATGATTTTTCAGAATTGATAGTTTGAAATATCAAAGCTTTATGACATTTGGTTTGCAAAGATATAGGGAATAGCCAATAAGAGTTTTCTGGCAAAGCTGAATTCCTTAGGTCTTCATTTATTGTTTTTATTTGGTTGCAAGTATTTTAAAGAAGGTCAATCTCATGTTTATTATTTTAACGTCGACATGAGTAACTACTTAATTTGCAATTAAATATTCCAAAAAAAGTTTTAATTGCGGATTTAGTTTTTTGCACCAAAAACTATTATTTTACATTTTTGTTCACACTTTCAGTGTATCGTTTTAAATTGCTTAAAGTAATATTATCTATATATATAAAGTTGTAATCTCCGTTTGTTTGTCTGTTTGTTTATTAGTTTGTCCGATCACAACTTAGGAACCCCTGGACCGATTTGCCTTAAATTTTGATTGGGGAACTCAAGAGACTCACGAGAATGTTCTTAGCTCGGTTTTAAGATTCTAAGTTAAGTTGGTCGACTTTAATAGCGAAAATTTAGTTTCCCGGTAAAATCGTTCAAGTGCGGGTAAACGGGGGGAGTAACATTGGCAGCGCTGGGTTCCCAAGCTAAAGACTGGGGGGTCTGAATCTATGTATAGCCTGGGAGAGGCGTTTGGCGCCCCACCCCCTTAGGCCTTCGAGAATAGGTATAGGCTTGAAATGAATGTTCATACCCCAATTTTACAAGGCCAACTCATAGAAAAAAATTAGACCGATAACTTTAATTGTTTGGGTGCTAGGGAGGGTTGAAAAAAATGCCTAAAAAAGGGTCAAAAAATTTTTTTTTTTCGTTTTAAACAAATTTCAATGTTTCTTATAGATCAAAGTGTGACACATGTTTCTACATACATTTTTCAAGGGCGTTTCAAAAATATAGTTTTTAGATCTGCAGCTTTAGTCACAAAAAAGTTATTGGCTATTTTAGATTTTTTTCATAGACCGGACTTTTTTTCCGCCCTTCTAAATTTAAAAAAAAATTTAAACAAAAATCCTATAAAAATTATAACTCATTAAAAGTCACAAAACTTTACGGTCATAGTGTTAAAAATTATAGTGCTAAGATAAGAAACTACAGGGGGGCGCCAAACGTCCCGCCCCCCCCAGCCTGTTTAGGGTTAAACTTGGTGGCCTGTGCACAAACTTTTAAATTGAAGAGATTAACGCTTTAAATCTTGGAATATGATACTAGGTATCCACGATTTAACAATCGAGGGGGAATTGAACCGTCTGAGCTCTGTAATTATAGATTTAAGATACATAGGATTTTCATTGAGATTCTTGATCTTGATCACTAAAATCGTTTTAAAATGATTGATTATAAATCTTACATTTCTAAATCTTAACGTGCAAAAAATATTTTAGTTATATCTATAACAAAATAGCCTGTCCTAAACAAATGAATAGCATTTTGTCTTTATTCTCTTTAGAAAATGGTCAACTTTGTATCTATTGTCTAAAGCATTTTTTTTTCAATTTAGGGATTGTTTTATTTTACGTTGCTAGGAATTTTTCCATTGAATTTCATTTGCATATTTACCTTTGCACACATCACGGCATACTTTTATTGTTTTTTTTAATTGAGTCATCAGAAAAGTACAATAATTTCGTTTATGTAATTAATGCCTTTTATTTTTTGCTCTAAAAGTCAATAATTCTCAAAGGAATTGAGTCTTTGCCACAAACTCAAATATTACTTTAAAACCTGATGATATAAACCTTTGATATTTTAAACTCAGGTTATTTGATTAACAGAATTCATAGTTTGAAATATCTAAGGTCTACGACATTTGGTTCCAAAGATATAGTGATTTGAAAATCAGAGTTTGTGGCAAAGACTCAATTCCTTTTAGGTGGATTTTCCTATTCGAGTTTTAAATTTTTGACCCCGAGAGAAAATAGAAATAAAAACGAACAAGAAAAATCAATTTTATGTTTTTTTATTGTTTAAAAAGCAAACTTTAACAGAATGTAGTTTTTAAATATGCTCATGTCCGGACATGTACCCTACCCAATGCTCATGTCCGGACATGTACCCTACCCAATGCATCAGAAAAAGTACTTTTTATTCCTAGCTGAGCCCAGAATAAACTGACTGCATTTTTATTCAAAATTTGAATATTTGCAAATTTCATTTCATTCATGTTTCTTTTAGGTGTAAAAAAATACACGTTGCTTGCGCTGGTAAAATATTGAATACAAATATTCTTAAATGTTTAGAAATTTCCATATAAATTGATTTATAATATGCATTACGCATAGCAAGAAAGCTCTTTTCTTTCACACAATACTGAATAAACATTTCCATTTGCATTCAAAGCTTCGCAGCTATATTTTCATTCATGCGAATAGAATTGTTTTTTTTAATCGCTTAAAGGGACTGAAAGCGTTATTGTAAGTGACCCTCCAATATTAGAGTGGTGTGTACGATTCTCAGTAGTACCCTTAGAACTTTTTACTGATCAAGGATGTCGGACTTATCCGTACTAATCTATAGAAATGCTTTAATCTCTATATATAGAGTTGTAATCTCTGTTTGTCTGTATGTTTGTTTGTCTGATCATAACTCAGGAACCTCTGGACCGATTTGCCTTCAATTTTGATTAGGGAACTCGGGAGGCCAACAAGAATGTTCTTATTTTGAGATTTTAAGTTGAGTAGGTAGACTTTAACAGCGAAAATTTAGTTTCCCGGTAAAATTGTTCAAGTGCGGGTAAACGGCGGGAGTAACTATTAGTAACCTTGGTAGTGCTGGGTTCCCAAGCTAGTAAAGTATAATATTTGAAAGTTGTTTAAAATTCAAGAAAATTTGATTCTAGAAGTTGCAGATAATCAACATTTAAATTTTCTAAACCTGCTTTTGACGCAAAATATTGGCTAATAGGCCGTATTTTCTTGAGGGACACAAATTGAAAATGTTAGATGTATTGAGTTCACACCAACGTCCACTTTACTTCTACGGCAATTCAATTAATTATTTTCGAGATATATAGATAGATAGATACATGAACAGTAAAAAGTAAAAAGTAAAAAGTAAAAAGTAAAAAGTAAAAAGTAAAAAGTAAAAAGTAAAAAGTAAAAAGTAAAAAGTAAAAAGTAAAAAGTAAAATGTCAGTGGGTCCTAACTTTGGAACCCATTTTTACTAGTTAAGCAAAGATTTTTCGTATTTGCTATTTCAAACTTCTTTGTAAGCTTATACTATTGTAAGACTAATTAAAGTATACACAATCTTTTACGCTATTTTCATCAGATACAGACAGGTTATACTTCGTCTAATCAGTCTTGGAAATCCTTAAATCTTTGCAACCTGAGGGATTAACCCTTCAATATTTGAATTGATAACGATCTCAACCTTTTAGTCCTCCACCCAATTGTAATAAAAAATTTTACAAATTTAAAATGTCGAAATACATTATTATGTATTATTATTATTATTATTATTATTATTATTATTAATATTATTATTACTATTATTAATTGTATTTGAGAAAGACAACA